TCCCGCCCGGGGCGCCGGGGGAGCCCCAGCCCCGCCGTGGGGCCGCCTGGACCCGCTTACGGCCGTTACCTGTGTTTTACATATACACACGGTGGAGTCTTAAGCTCCGGAAAGGTTTCGCTGCTACTGCTGGGATAAATACGAAATAAGAGGTGAAAAATACCACGTTCTCCTCAGGTGACAGAGTTAAGGCGCTGTACAGCTAATTAGGGCCTTTATCTTTCCTTCCACGGACCCTTCTAGAAAGGTTTTCTCTTTTGGGGGGAGAAACACTGAGTGACACTGCAGCTTTTGTAAAACCAGTAAGGTAGAGTTGTAACGAGTGATTTCCACTATAGCAACAGGGGAAAGGCTATTTTAGAAGTAAGCATCATGGAGCATACCTGAGCCAGCAACAGCCACATCTCAAATGACTTCCAAATAAAAACACTTGAAAATATTTATGAGGAGAATAGTGCAATATAGACCTTTTTTTCTTCTTCTTTTTTGGTCTCACTTGCATAGAGGAATCATATTGAAAGAGCTGATGGAGAGTATGGATACAGTGATCAATAGGGATAGTCCATGCTTGCATACAAGTCTGGCTGTTGTAAAGTGGGTGCCAGGCAGACATAGGTCACAAGGATTTGTCTCGGAGTTGTCTGCTCTTCTTCACATAGGCTTTACTGCAGCATTCTGGCTAGAACATCTTTTTACTTGTACAAAGCCTTTGAGAAAAATCACAAGCATTTAAAAATCATCTTTGTAGATTTTAGTGGATATTTTTGCACGCGTGGTATATGCTGGTCTAAGGACCTAAACTCAACAAAAACACAACAAAACAGATTAAGACAATTCTCGCGCTACTGCTAACAAACAAATCACTTGCAGGAGGAAATGCAGACGCTATTCCTGTTCAGCCACCTTGACTCCAACACATGTCCTCTTGAAGCCTTTGATATGCAGCTTCCCGTTCCTGCTTGTGGTGCAAGCACACTTCTATGAGGATATATGCCAGGTGGCATGGATGAGTTGTACAGATGATAGGAATCTTATCTTGTAGTAAAGCCACTATGATCGCCTCTGAAATGAACATTAAAAAGAAAAAAAAAATGTCAGTCCAGAGTTAGGTTTATATGAACAATGCTTGTAATTGTTTGAGAATTTAACAGAAAAATGGGAGATAAAAGGATAAAGGGAGAGCAGAGTACCAAATTGTGTAATTTTTACTAGTAGGTTTACTTTAAAAATTAGTGCTGTGTATGGATGAATTTCTATGCAGAATCTTAGCCTGTGCATAGGACTAGCTTAAAAATCACTCATTTCAAAAATAACTAACTGCGCAATGAACTTTACCCATTTGTTGTGATATGTTGTTTTAAACAAAGATATTAGACTTCTAAGGGTTTTTTCCCATCCTAATTTTGGAAATGAAAAGGAAGAGAGAAAGTAATGATTTTATAATCTTAAACAGAAAGGATGAATCTTCAGGTTTATACAAAATGATGCACATAAATTAATTGTTAATTCGTTTGAAACCATTCTTGACATGCCATGCGTATGGCATTTTTTGTTCTATGTAACCTCAGAAATAGGGAAGCCTTGAGTATTTTATTTTTAACTATTAAGAGTACTGGTCAGTTGAACACTGAAGTTGGCATCACAGACTTCTACAAAAGTAATTCCTAAATGTATGTAATCAGGTAGCTTTATCTGTGCAGGTCAAATGCAGTTGAAACTAGTTAAGTGACAAAGTTAAGGCAGATCAGAAATGAGAGTAACTTAATATGTAGTAACTCAGGAGTTAACCTTTTTCTTGTTTTGCTAAAATACTAGAAAAGAGAATGCGAGGTGTGCAAGCTTTTATTTTTTAAGCTAAGTCATAAATGTTTTGTAATTATATATATATATGTATTTACAGCCCTTCAAACTGCTAGGGTTCCTCGATGTTAAAAACGTCCCCTGTGCACGAGAATCTATACTCTATGGCTCAGTGGGATCTTTCGTTGTAGGACTTGGACATTTTATAGCAACAAGTAAGTCATTTTTTCGTTTCCATATTTATATTTAAGGAGAAATTTGTTCCCATTTGGTATTTATTCTTGTAATGGGAACCAGTGGGAACCCAAGTCACCTAAGTTTCTTTCTCTGATTTTTTTGATTTTCAGGTAGAGTTAGAAGATCTTGTGACTTTGCAGTTGGTGGCTTCATTTGCACAATGTTAGGATACTGGTATGTAAAATGTTTACTGAATTTCAACAGAACTTGCATTGGGTGCTTTCTACAACATGATCCGCTTTTGATCTTTCATGCTGTTCCTGAAAATCATAAAAGACTCTTCTAACAAAGTGTCCTCTCCCTTCTCCTCCAAAATACAGTCAATGACCTTGATTTTTATGTTAATATTCTGTTTCAAAAAACTTGGTATATTTTGCTTGAATCCTAAAACAACCCAGTTGTTCTTTCCTCTTTTCTTAATTCTTCATATAATTCTTCTTTTCTTTCTTTTCTTCATATGTACAGTCCTTTCATCCTCATTATAAAGGCAGCACGCTCAATGTTCATGAGATTAAGATTCAAATTACAAAAAGGAGAATTCTTCACTGGACATGTGACTCAGCCTTCTATATGGTGCATAATCCATGCCTTAGAGATGCTGCAGTTACCTGCTGCATTATTTCATAACTAATTTTACTGGCATTACTGGTGGTAATTACTGGTGGTGTGTGGTTTCAACTTTTCAACTGACTGAATAACTCTAATTTTATACTGTCATTAATATGAAGCAGGGAATCATGTTTTCTTTCCCCCTCTTCCCTAGGTTTTATTGCAGGTACAATTATGCCCAACGCAAGATCCGGCAAAGAATGATTAGAGAAGGAATGAAAAACAAACTTTTATTTGAAGGCACTGCTCTTGATCCAGACAGAAAACAAACTGGCAATGAAAGAAGCAATTCATAGTCTGCTATGGAGGGGTCTGTGGCCCAGTACAGCTTTGGGGGAAGGTGGTCCGAAATGGGCAGTCTTCCCTGTAAATGTGGGAGGTGACCAAGTCTGATAAATCATGCTGGTTTTCCTAGCAAATTCAAGTAAGAAACTCATAATGAATCCGTTAAATCAGTATACAAGCCTTTCTTTGTTTCCTGTATGTATATATGACTATGTACACAGTTAGGAATGACCTCCTTGGTTTTGGTCTGTTAAACATTTGGGAACTGATACGTTTTGTTGCAAGCTCCCAGGATTAATGACAGTGATTTTTGGACTACTTCAATTTTTATTACAGATGGAATGGTACGTTTTAGCAAAGTTGCAATTCCGCTTCATTTAAATAAAAGTAAAACTTTCATCAGCTGTTCTTTGAGTAAATGTGTCCTTCAGTGCTACCGTTCACTATGCTGTTTTTAAAACAGGAACATTTAAATAGTAGATGAATGCTTTGCTTGTGCAAGATGGATAGTATAGTAGCCTTAAAATTTCAACTGCAGCGTAGTGAGCAACTTCACACAGCTTATGTACACTGAAATGGAAAAAAATCCATCATTGTTCTCTTGGTGTGAAACTAAGAATAAATCACTTGCACTTCACAAGGAGTCTAAGCAATTTATGTAACTCATTATTTATTTATTTTAAATCCTGTTTTCAGAGCATTTCTTTACATTACTGTCAGCTGTTGTGAAATAATGCTGATACGCTTATTTACATTATTAATGAATGGTAATGATCAGTTATTTGTTTAAAAAATCATGTGCTACTTGCATAATTTGTTGTAAGTCTTTAGTTAAAAGAAATATTGCTATATGATGCCAAGGAAACATTCTCCTGTTTGGAAATACTGTGTTGTCTCATTGTCAGCAAAAAAGATGGTGACGACATAGTGCTGCTTTGCTGATGTACTTCTGTGCACACCAGTGAGATAGTGTTTATTATTTTCACTAAATTACTTCAATTGGATTTCAACATTATGCTATAAGCAACTTTTTGTCTAAAGCCGTTGGCTGAGCAAATTCAGTCCTTTTTCTCAACCCTGTATTTAATGAGAGATGCTGTGATCTGTTGGTGTCTCAGGCCAGAGACGGGAGGTTGAGAGTCCGAATGTAATCACCACCTGTGCACTGCATACTTTAATTGGCAGATACACTTGTGAGCACTGAACAAACATGCTGCTTACCCTAAGATAATTAAACTTTATTCTGCGGATTAGACTCTCATAAGAAGAAAACAACCGTGTATTCTTCTCCACTTCCTTCTGTTCTCTGTTCTTCCTGTTTCTTGTGCAGGAAACACGATAATGATAGATCTTTGTGGAGAAATTTTCGTTCAACAGTTGTAGGTAAAAGTCTCTGGAGAACTTGAGTTAATATGACGAGCTTGCTTCTTTCCTCACTGGCAAATCTGAAACGCAGCAGGTACTCGTAGCTAAGGTTACTTCAGAAGAGGAAGCCCTTTCAGAGGTTTGCGTGGGGCAGGGAGAGAGGCTCCTTCTCCTTTCCTGTGTGGGTGGAATTGCCTCCAAGGGCTACGGAGCTGCAGTGAGAAACCGAGTGGGCCATGAACATGTGCGTAGCGAGTCCCTATTTCAGTATGTGGTCAAGTTCTTTCCTGTGTGCCCTAAGAAAAGGAACTGCAGCCCCAGCAGGGGGTCTTTTGGCCAAGAGGTCGGAGTGCAGCAGGGGCCTGCAGGAAACAAAGGCGGCCAGATGAAAATCTGCTCTTGGGCAAAGCACAGTTGTTCAGAAAGGAGTTGGCTGTTTGTACTCAGAGGAAAAAAAGTAGCAGGCACATAAAGGTGTCCTCCAGTGTGAATACCTGTATAATGATGACAAGAAAAGGCAGAAATGTCATGAAATGCATAAATGAAGAAAATCTGAGGGAAAACAAGATTCTTTCCAGTGTTAACCCACTGCTGATTTAAGCTATGGTATTTAAGGATATTAGCTCAGTGACAATTCTACTACAGTAATAGCAGTTCAGGCAAATAACTGCCAAATTCTAGCTACATCTGTGTTGTTTAGATAGCTCATCTAACATCTAGTGCAAAATGTAAAAATGAACTGAATGGTAACACAAAAATGAGGAAGAAGAGAGTATGTGACCAGTCTGAATGTCGTGACAAACACGCAACTGTTGTTACTTACTAATCATTTTAAAAAAGAACAAACTTTAAGAGACCACAACAAAAAAGGTCATTTTTATTGCAGATTTATTTCTGTGGTCACTAAGCAGTGACCAACAGGCACACTTAACTCTGAAGTTACTAAAATATTACCTGCTTTAAAGCACCCTGAAACATCACCAAAATGAAAAAGTGGCTCTGTGGCCTGGTCCACTCCTCGGTCGTGGTACTCTGGGCACTCCCAGCAGCAGCAACATTCCTTGGAAAAGGTGCTCACCAGCTGGGCTGTGGCAGGAGTGTGCTTATGGCTTCCCGTGGAGCACGGGCACGCGGCTTCCAGGCCTTTTGGGTGGAAAAATGTCACTGTCAGTGCAAAAGGCAGGAATG